GTGCAGCGTGCCCTGCTGCACTCTTCTAATCGCCCTGTTGTCTGGCTGTGCAAAACTGTCTGCCAGGCGAGTTGCCTCAACCTCCCAACCCTGCCATAAACGTCTCCCCCTTACTCTCACAGATATTGTGGAGCACACATCAAGCAGCAGTTACAACTGGAATACTGGTTGTGCTGAGATCTAACCGAGTCAGTAAACTGCGCCAGCACGCTTTCAAACATCCAAACAAACATTCTACCACCATTCTGCACTTGCTCAGCCTATAGAATCATAGAATATTAGGGTTGGAAGGGACCTCAGGAGGTCATCTAGTCCAACCCCCTACTCAAAGCAGGACTGATCCCCGACTAAATCATCCCAGCAAGGGCTTTGTCAAGCCTGACCTTAAAAACTTCTAGGGAAGGAGATTCCACCACCTCCCTAGGTAATGCATTCCAGTGTTTCACCACCCTCCTAGTGAAAAAGTTTTTCCTAATATCCAACCTAAACCTCCCCCACTGCAGCTTGAGACCATTACTCCTTGTTCTGTCATCTGCTACCACTGAGAACAGTCTAGAGCCATCCTCTTTGGAACCCCCTTTCAGGTAGTTGAAAGCAGCTATCAAATCCCCCTCATTCTTCTCTTCTGAAGACTAAACATCCCCAGTTCCCTCAGCCTCTCCTCATAAGACATGTGTTCCAGTCCCCTAATCATTTTTGTTGCCCTCCTCTGGACTCTTTCCAATTTTTCCACATCCTTCTTGTAGTGTGGGGCCCAAAACTGGACACAGTACTCCAGATGAGGCCTCACCAATGTCGAATAGAGGGGAATGATCACGTCCCTCGATCTGCTGGCAATGCCCCTACTTATACATCCCAAAATGCCATTGGCCTTCTTGGAAACAACAGCACACTGTTGACTCATATCCAGCTTCTCATCCACTGTAACTCCTAGGTCCTTTTCTGCAGAACTGCTGCCGAGCCATTCAGTCCCTAGTCTGTAGCGGTGCATGGGATTCTTCCGTCCTAAGTGCAGGACTCTGCACTTGTCCTTGTTGAACCTCATCAGATTTCTTTTGGCCCAATCTTCCAATTTGTCTAGGTGCCTCTGTAACCTATCCCTACCCTCCAGCATATCTACCACTCCACCAGTTTAGTGTCATCTGCTAACTTTCTGAGGGTGCAATCCACACCATTCTCCAGATCATTTATGAAGATACTGAACAAAACCGGCCCCAGGACAAACCCGTGGACCACTCCACTTGATACTGGCTGCCAACTAGACATGGAGCCATTGATCACTACCCGTTGAGCCTCACAATCTAGCCAGCTTTCTATCCACCTTATAGTCCATTCATCCAGCCCATACTTCTTTAACTTGCTGACAAGAATACTGTGGGAGACCGTGTGAAAAGCTTTGCTAAAGTCAAGGAACAACACGTCCACTGCTTTCCCTTCATCCACAGAGCCAGTTAACTTGTCATAGAAGGCAATTAGATTCGTCAGGTATGACTTGCCCTTGGTGAATCCATGCTGACTGTTCCTGATCACTTTCCTCCCCTCTAAGTGCTTCAGAATTGATTCCTTGAGGACCTGCTCCATGATTTTTCCAGGGACTGAGGTGAGGCTGACTGGCCTGTAGTTCCCAGGATCCTCCTTCTTCCCTTTCTTAAAGATGGGCACTACATTAGCCTTTTTCCAGTTGTCCGGAACTTCCCCGGATCGCCATGAGTTTTCAAAGATAATGGCCAATGGCTCTGCAATCACATCCACCAACTCCTTTAGCACTCTCTGATGCAACACATCCGACCCCATGGACTTGTGGTCGTCCAGCTTTTCTAAATAGTCCAGAACCACTTCTTTCTCCATGGGGGGCTTGTCACCTCCTACCCATGCTGTGCTGCTCTCTGCAGTAGTCTGGGAGCTGACCTTGTTCACGAAGACAGAGGCAAAAAAAGTATTGAGTACATTAGCTTTTTCCACATCCTCTGTCACTAGATTGCCTCCCTCATTCAGTAAGGCGCCCACACTTTTCTTGACTTTCTTCTTGTTCTTAACATACCTGAAGAAACCCTTCTTGTTGTTCTTAACATCTCTTGCTAGCTGCAACTCCAGGTGTGATTTGGCCTTCCTGATTTCACTCCTGCAAATCCGAGCAATATTTTTATACTCATCCCTGGTCATTTGTCCAATCTTCCACTTCTTGTAAGCTTCTTTTTTGTATTTAAGAGCAGCAAGGATTTCAATGTTAAGCCAAGCTGGTCGCCTGCCATATTTACTATCTACATCTACACATCTACACATCGGGATGGTTTGTCCCTGTAACCTCAATAAGGTTTCTTTAAAATATAGTTGAACTGCTCCTTACTACTGTCCAGGATACCTGTGTAGAGCTTCATGAGCCTTGGCATTAAGGGGTAGGCTGGGTCCCAGAGGATAACTATAGGCATTTCAACATCCCCAACAATAATTTTCTGGTCTGGGAAGTAAGTTCCTTCCTGCAGCTGTTCAAACAGACCAGAGTTTCTGAAGATACGAGCATCATGCACCTTTCCCGGCCATCCCACATTGATGTTGGTGAAACGTCCCTTGTGATCCACCAGTGCTTGCAGCACCATGGAAAAGTACCCCTTGTGGTTTATGTACTGGCTGCCAAGGTGGTCCAGTCCCAAAATAGGGATATGCGTTCTGTCTATTGCCCCGCCACAGTTAGGGAACCCCAGCGCATTAAAGCCATCCACAGTGGTCTGCACATTTCCCAAAGTCACTACCCCTGATAGCAGCTGGTCAATGATTGCGTTGGTTACTTGCAGCACAGTAGATTTCCCCACTCCAAACTGACTCCCGACTGACCAGTAGCTGCTGGGCGTTGCAAGCTTCCACAGAGTTATGGCCACTCACTTCTCAACTGTGAGGGCTGATCTCATTTTGGTGTATTTGCACTTCAGGGCAGGGGACAGCAAGTCACAAAGTTCCATGAAAGTGGCCCTACGCATTTCTCAGCCACTGGAAATCATCCCATACGTGCAACACTATGCAGTCCCAACAGTCTGTGCTTGTTTCCCAGGCCCAGAATCAGCGTTCCACGGCATGAACCTGGCCCATGATCTCCCAGTCGCCACATGCTGTGCCGTCTGTGTCCATGTCCTCATCAGTATAGTAATCGCGCTGTCGTCGCTTCCTCACCCGGTTTTGTAGGTACTGCACATACTGCTGGATAATGCACGAGGTATTTACAATGGTCAAAACTGCAGCGGAGATCGGATCGGGCTCCATGACTATGGCACCTGCACGGGTAATCCTGGAAAAAGGGCACGAAATGTAGGAGAGCAGAGTGGCAGCGGAAGCTGTGCTGTTTGGTTCACGGTAGCCAAACAAAGGCTGAAAATGGTTGTCTTCTGTGGCTTTCACGGAGGTGGGAGCCCAGGACAGACAACATAGAGAAGCTTGGAAGCACCGCGATAGCGGGAGAGCAGAGTTGGCGGCGGAAGCTGTGCTGCCCGGTTCACGATGGCCGAGCAGAGTTGGCAGCGGAAGCGTTCGATGAGGAAGAGAAAGATTAGAGATTACATAGGAAGATGAGAGGAAATGAGAGGTGGATTCATAGTAGCAGGAGAGCAGCGGTGCACCATCTGCTGAAAGCAGTATGGTGTCTGCACGCCAAAAAGGCATGAAACGATTGTCTGCCGCAGCTTTGTGATGACACACACCCAGAAACACCCGTGAGAATGTTTTTGGCCCATCATGCACTGGGAGCTTAATCCAGAATTCCAGTGGGCGGCGGGGTCTGCGGGAACTGTGGGATAGCTACCCACAGTGCACCGCTCCGACATTCAATGCTAGCCTTGGTACTGTGGTCGCAATCCGCCGAATTCACATGCTTCAGTGGGGACACAGGAGACCGAATGTATAAAATAGCTTCCAAAAATTCAAATAGAATAATTTCGAAATAACTTCGTCCTGTAGACGTACCCTTAGTCCTTCCTTTGTTGTCCCGGACTCCTGCCTCCCCAGCACCCGCACGGCTCCCAGCGCCCAGGCGGGGCTGCCTGAGCCTAAAGACTGAGGGGGGATTCCTGGGGGAGCCCCAGGTGCTCTGGGAAATGAGTTCTGTGACTTCTTCCTCTGCGGTTGTAGGATTCTCCCTTCCCCACCATCTGCGCATGCGGGACTCTTCCCTCTCCCCCGCATTTGCGCATGCCCGGAGCCCATCTGTCACGGGACCAGCGTCTGTGGGCGGGGGAGACAAGCTCTCAAGCGATACAAAACTCTTCCCCGGGCCTGGGAGAGGCTCCAACGGCCCTCACGAACTCTCAGCCCTGCTCGTCATTCCCCCGCCCAACGTCACTTCCGCTCCCAAGAGAGTCAGGAACTACATCTCCCAGGCTGCCCTGGGGGGCGCTTCCGCCTTCTCTAGCTCAGGTAAGGGCCTGGCTCCGCGCCTCTCCCGCAGCCGGCGCCTCTCAGACCCGCCCCTCCCGGGTTCCTTCCGCTTTCTAAGGCGACCTGGAGCCTGGTCCCGGGCAGTCTGCGCTGTGGGGAGCCCGGGAGCGGGGGCAGGGGCTGCTCGCTGGGCGGGGGGAGCCTCAGTCCCGGGGTCCCACCTGCCCCGCCCGCGTCCTGCCCCCCGGTCCGACCGTCCCCTTGCGCACACATGGACCTGGCCCGGGCTTCTTCTTCCCCCTCCCCGTGACCTGCCTCCCCCTGGCACCAGTTTGTAACGTGCTCCCCTCCCCTCCCCTCGGGTTACCCGGTGAGACGGACGCTTGGGGGAAGCAAAAGAAAAAAGCCGCCGGAGCGGCCAGTGCGGCAATACCGGGACAAATAGCGACCAAGGGACAAAACTAAAAATCGGGACAGACGTCTGGTCACCCTCCCCTCCCCCATCGCTGAGCCTAGGGGCTGGTTTGGCTTCGCTCCTGGGGTGCCCTGTGCTAGCCTCAAATCAGCTTCCTGGGGTCACTTCCTGCCTCCCCCTGCCGCCCAGCGCCCTGGGACAGGAGTCAAAGAAAGGACGTTTCCTTTCAGGTGTGAAGGCGGCAATTCAGCCATGAAGGGGCGGTGCTGATGGAGGAATTATTGACCCTTTCTCTGTTTTCCTTTTCAGGTTTTACCCCCTTTTTCTCTGATTTCTCTTTCTGATTGTCACCAGTGGATGTAAAATCCGTGTTGATTTCTCCCCTTTTCTCTCTAGTTCAATTTAAAATCTCAGATTTGGGATATTTTCCCACCCATTTGATGTGCAGCAAACTTTCTTTGTTTATATAGGAAATTGTTGCCCTGAGTCATTTCCCAACTGGGATGGGTTTTAATGGGTGCAGCAGCTTGCAAAGCCCTGAGACACATCTTCCCAAAAGGGCGGGGGGGGGGGGCTTCCAGTTTCTGGCATTCAGAGGCCAGGCCAGTCAGGGACATGCTTCCATGCTGATGATGGGTACTGCTCCATAACAGTCCAAAGCAGTGCGGACTGACGTATGTTCATTTCCATCATCTGAGTCATATGCCGCCATCAGAAGATTGATTTTCTTGTCTAGCAGTTCGGGTTCTGTAGCGTCTGCATCAGTGTTGCTCCTTTAGAACTTCTGACCACATGTTCCACACCTCGGCCTTCTCAGATTTCGGACGGCACTTCAGATTCTTACACCTTGGTCAAGTGCTGTAGCTATCTTTAGAAATCTCACATTAGTACCTTCTTTGCATTTTATCAACTCCGTAGTATAAGTATTCTTAAAATGAGCAACATATGCTGTGTCATCATCCGAGACTGCTATAAAATGAAATATATGGCAGAATGCAGATAAAACCATGGAGCAGGAGACATAATGGTCTCCCTCAAGATCTTCAGTCTCAAATTTCATTAACGCATTATTTTTTAACGACCATCGTCATCATGGAGACATGTCCTCTGGAATGATGGCTGAAGCATGAAGGGGAATATGGATGTTAGCATAGCTGGCACATAAATATTTTGCAGTGCTGGCTACAAAAGGGCCATGTGAATGCCTGTTCTCACTTTCAGGTGACATTGTATGTAAGAAGCGGGCAGCATTATCGCCGGTAAATGTAAACAAACTTGTTTGTCTTAGCGATTGGCTGAACAAGAAGTAGGACTGAGTGGACTTGGAGCGCTAAATTTTTACACTGTTGTGTTTTTGAGTGCATTTATGTAACAACAGAAAATCTACATTTGTAAGTTGCACTTTCACGATAAAGCGATCACATTACAGTATTTTATCTTTTCTACAGTGCAAATATTTGTAAGAAAAAATAATATAAAGTGAGCACTGTACACTTTGTATTCTGTGTTGTAATAGAAATCAATATATTTGAAAATGTAGAAAAACATCCAAAAATATTTCCAATAAATTTAAATTGGTATTGTTTAACAGTGCGATTAAAACTCTGATTAATCGCAGTTAACTGAAACAAATTGCAAAAGTTAACTGTGATTAACTGACAGCCCTAGTTTTGAATTTTTCTGTTACATGCAGGACAGTCTAGAACATCAGTGTGCAGGGAAAGAGCCTGCGGGGAGTTGTGCTGTGAAATTATTTCCTGTTCTGACGTGTCCCCAATTGTCCTTTTTGCCCTAACAGGCTGCAGCGCAATATCCATGTTTTCTGCCAGGTTTTTCCGTCCTTCCAGAGACCAGGAAAGGGAAATGGCTGCAGTGGAGCCAGTTGAGGTAGGGATTATCAGGGAGTTGCTGGTGGGCTCCTGTTGGAGGGAGGAGGGCAGTAAATACAGAGGAGGTTGGCATTTCTGGGGGGGTTAGTTTGAAGGTGGGAGGGGTTAGGAAATACTCAGGGTGGAGAAATGAAGGGGGGCAGTGTGATGACAAACCTGTTGGGGTTTGTTTACTGTGAGACCTAGATCCCAGCAACAGATGCATGGAGTTTGTGGGTGGGAATTTCCTGATTTGACAAACAGGAAGCAAACAGCCTGGAGTGGGCTGAGAGAACTTACTAGACTCCAGTACTGGAGCCTGAACCTATTAGCCAGAGGCCCCTGTGAGATTTAAAGGGGAACCCACCAGTAAGGCCCAGGGAAGATACCCCATCCCGCCTGCTGGCCATGGGGAGAGTGTTCTGATTCTCACCAGAGAGTTGTCCCTTGTTCCTGCTGGGGGCTCCATCTCCTGTATCAGCCTCTGGCTAATAGGTGAGTGATGAATGTGAAGACCCCTGCCCCCTCTCTCTGCTGGGAGGGGTGCAGGGCTCTGTCTTTCTCCCCTCACCGTGATGCCTCCTAGCTGCTCTGATGGGATGGGGGTAGGACTATGCTGACAGCCTGTCTCCCAGATCTTCTATGTGATTGGCCCTCCTCCCCTCTGAACGATGGGATTGTCAGGAGGCTCTTGCTTTTTCAGGGGCTGGTGACCTTTGAGGAGGTGGCTGTGTATTTCACCAAGGAAGAGTGGGCTCTTCTGGACCTGGGTCAGAAAACCCTCTACAGAGATGTAATACTGGAGAACTATGAGACTGTGACCTCGCTGGGTAAGGATTACTGTTCCCCCAGGTATTAGAAGGGGAAATGAGGAGTTAAGGTTCACGACATCTCACAATGCAACTCAACTGTGCCCTGTTTCAGCAACACCCCAACTGGCCAATGACAAACATTACCCTGGTGGCTACAGAATACTTTGGGAACAGAGCACAAGTGTGGTATAGCACAAAGTTTAACACCTTCTCTTTGCTAACGCAAAACTTGGGGTTAGGTCCAGTGCAGGGAACAGAAGCTATCTACAGTGGTGAGCTGGAGCTGGTTCGCACCGATTCGTGTGAACTGGTTGTTAAATTTTGAAGCCGGTTTAGAACCGGTCGTTAAAGGGGTGGGCAAACTCCGGCCCGCAGGCCACATCCTGTCCGGGCCGCCTGAGCTGTCATCTGAGGAGGCTCCCCTTTTTAATTTTTACTCACCCAGTGGTGCTCCGGGTCTTTGGCGGTACTTCAGCGGCGGGTCCCTAACTCGCTCCGGTCTTCAGCAGCACTGAAGGATCTGCTGCCGAAGACCCGGAGTGACTGAAGGAACCGGTTCATCAGCTTTTGGCAGCTCATCACTGGCTATCTACCCCTAGCCTTCACTCAAACACTGAGCCTACTGCACACAGTCCATCTCAGACTTTTACAATGTTACCACCCTGTTAGCCTTGCACTAAGGGTATGACTACACTACGGAATTAGGTTGAATTTATAGAAGTAGATTTGTTTGTCTGGAGCGTGCCCTGTCTCACCCCTTCCCCCCCGTGTTCTTGGGCATCTGGGTGAGGAGGCTATGGAACTTGGGGAGGAGGGCAGGTGGTTACACAGGGGCTGCAGCGACAGTCTGTGCTCCTGCTGCCTTTCCTGCAGCTCAACCATATGCAGGAGCATATCAGTTTGATCCTCTAGTAGCCTCAGCATTGCATCCCGCCACCTCTCCTCTGGCTCCCGCCACCTCTCATCTTGTGCGTCCCTCCTGTCCTCGTGTTCATTTTGTGCTTTTCTGAACTCTGACATTGCTTGCCTCCATGCATTTTGCTGAGCTCTTTCAGTGCGGGAGGACTGCATGAGCTCTGTTATGAAGCGTGGGGGAGTCAGGGTCCTGTACCCTTGTTTCTTGCGATTCACGTTCACCGTGACTCTCAGCCAGCCAGTAGAACAGCAGGTTTATTAGCGATGACAAGGAACACAATCCAGCCCCGAGCTTGTAGGCATGAACAGGACTCCTTAGTCAGGGCTCCTTGTGGGGGGTAGAGAGCTTAGACCCCCACTCTGGGGCTCTCCCCTCTTCCCTAGCCCACGCCAAACTGAAAGAAAAACCCTCCAGCGTCCCACCCAGCCTCCCCCCAGCTCCTCCTCCAGCCTTTGTCCAGTTTCCCGGGCAAAGGTGTCACCTGGCCCCAACCCCCTCCTGGCTCAGGTTACAGGCTCTCAGGTATCCCATCCCCACATTCCCAGGTCAACACTCCCCCCTCCCTGCAATGTCACAAGCTCAGAGAACATTAAAATACCGCCAGCTCTCCTGGACTCCTTGCCCCCTCATATTAGCTTCCCGGGGGATCCAGCCCATCAGTTCCCTAAGGGAGTCAAAGTCTGCTTTTCTGAGGTCCAGGGTCCGTATTTTGCTACTCTCCTTTCTTCCTTTTGTCAGGATCCTGAACTCAACCATCTCATGGTCACTGCTGCTTAGGTTGCCACCCACTTCTATTTTCCCTACCAATTCTTCCCTGTTTGTAAGTAGCGGGTCAAGAGGAGCACGGCCCCTAGTCACTTCATCCAGCACTTGTACCAGAAAGTTCTCCCCAACACTCTCCAAAAACTTCCTGGATTGCTGTATTGCTCTCCCAGCAGATGTCAGGGTGATTGAAGTCCCCCATTAGAACCAGGGCTTGTGATCTGGAAACTTCAGTTAGTTGTCCAAAGAAAGCCTTGTCTACCTCATCCTTCTGATCTGGTGGTCCATAGCACATGCCCACCACAGCATCACCCTTGTTGCTCTTGCCTCTAAACTTAACCCAAAGACTCTCAACAGGCTTTTCTGCAGTTTCAAACTGGAGCTCTGAGCAATCATACCACTCTCTTACATACAATGCAACTCCTCCACCTTTCCTCCTGTACCTGTCCTTCCTAAACAGTTTATACCCATCCATAACAGTGCTCCAGTCATGTGAACTGCCCCACCAAGTTTCTGTTATTCCAGTCATGTCATAGTTCCTTGATTGTGTCAGGACTTCCAATTTTTCCTGTTTGTTTCCCAGGCTTCTTGCGTTCATGCACATGCACCTAAAATAACTAGCTGATTGCCCTACTGTCGGAGAAGAACACAGTTCTCACTCTCAGGTTGGGTGCAGCAAGTCAGATACAGTTTATTATCTCAAGCAATTGCACAGAGGGAGAGAGTGCACTAGGACACAGGGTTTCCCCCACCTAGGCAGATAAAAAATTTGAGCAAGTATTTAAACCTTTATTACAGACAATAATAAGCAACAACTGCATATTGTTTATACATATTCCTTCATGATATCTTATTTTTCTTACCTTTTCTGTTGAGTTCTTAATTTTTCCTGGGAGTCCTTTAGACTCCGCATCCGAGACTCGTGGAGTCTCTTTGTGGCTTCCTCTGAGGTGTATGATTTTATTTAAATCGAAGGTACCTTCTAGTGGGAATTGTTTAGATGGATTATCATGCTTGGGAAGATTCCAATTTTTCAAATACCTGCAGGTCCTAGGACCATAATGTACATACATGTGATATGCTGGCATACCATTAAGAGGTACGGGGGAATATTTAGACTGCCCCCCACCCATTTTCTAGGCACACAGTAGGGAGCTGATAAGCTAAGAATATCTCTTCCACTCGGATTACTCACACAGGAAAGATTTATCGAGGATGACCACGACCTTCCTATACCTCCCTTCAGCAAAGAGCGTTGGCTAGTCTCAGAGGGACAGCGCAGCTTACTCTGATTGCTTCCAGTGAGATGGTCAGACCAGTCAGTGGCTCATAAGCATGGGAGAAAGGGACAAGATGGATAGAAGCACACAACCCTAGACCCAAGCAGGTTGCTCGCCAGGCGATGCCATGCAGAGACAGCCCCCCAGTCAGGATCTTTTACTGAGGTGCAGTCCACCGGGCTTGCATTAGAGACAACCCCGGTCACAAGCCTTTGGCTTCGCAGGGTGCTTTGGGCATCTTACACACACCCCTCTATTCCTGCATACCATGATACATCCGGACTTAATACAACCTTTCCCTTATGCGAGGCAGTAACAACCGCTCAGTACCAGTACATTAACCTTATTGGGCGCGGCAAAACAGTTCCCCAGCACCGCTCTGTATCTGATCTTGCTGCACAATCAATAAGTTTGGATGGCCCCAAAAGGGACAGACAGCCTCTCAGGCAGTCCTTCTCCGATACCCCAATAAAGATTTCAAAAGGTCTCTTACCTCTATTGTGGTGCCATGGGGTTCGAAAGGGAACGGTCCGCAGCAGCTGCCGTTGTCTTTGCAAGCATTGCCATCCCGTACGAGCCCCCAAATTGTTGGAAAAAAACACAGTTCTTGCTCTCAGGTTGGGTGCAGCAAGTCAGATACAGTTTATTATCTCAAGCAATTGCACAGAGGGAGAGAGTGCACTAGGACACAGGGTTTCCCCCACCTAGGCAGGTCTCTCCCAGATAAACAATTTGAGCAAGTATTTATACCATTATTACAGACAATAATAAGCAACAACTGCATATTGTTTATACATATTCCTTCATGATATCTTATTTTTCTTACCATTTCTCTTATAGTCTGCATTCTATTCTTATCTAATACAAGGTCACAGCAGCCTCTTTCACAGTTATTTTCCACTCGCTTCTCATTATCCCCGCTTCTACAAATCTCGCGTTATTAAAGCTAGAGTTAGCCTGACTCCTGCTCATTTCAGAGGCCTGCATCCAAATTCCCTTCATCTATTTCCGCACTACTTTCTCAGTATGAATCAGGAGGCTTCCCGTCTTGTATCCTCCTCGTATTTCGTGACCAGGTCAGATTTGGTCAAATGAAATAAAAGCAAAACACATTCTAAGCTGATTGTAACACTTCCAGTGCCCTTACAAACTTTGATGCGTCTCACCACAGGCTGGCTGGTTGCTCTTCAGCCAGGCTGTCCCCTTTGATCAGCGCTTAAGTCTCTTGGTGTGGTGTCTGTAGATGTACGTGGAAGAGAGAGAGAGCATGGCAAACGTCTCTCCCTCTTACCATGTTCTTTCTTCCCTCTTGGCTTTGCCCCCTCCCCCCCTTCAGAGTCAGATGAGCATTACCTCATCGCAGTCCCAAACTGACCAAAGGAAAGGGGGTGACTCACTCGAGAGTCCAACAGATCCTTTTGTTACTGCATAGGCCAGCGTCCTCTATTCCTGTGAGGCTGTGCTGGGTTTGTCCCATACATGCATTGATGAGGTGTGAACTGCCCCTTTGCTCTTAGAGTGTTTTTGCCTGGTCTTATTTTAAGCCATGAGGATACATTTTCAGCCTCATAACTGTATACATTACTGCAACAACAATTACTATAACATCACTGTAACAGCAATGCTCAGTGCATCATGAGCCTTCACAAAACACCCAACATGACAAATTTTGCATTGGATACCACACAATCATTTTATAAGGATGAACATGGGGGTGTAGGGTGTTCCCACGAGGTACCGAACGTCACAGCACGTCAGCCCCAGGTGGGGAAAACAGAAATTACATCAGTTAGCTTTACTGTGGTAAAATCTACTGGGGCCTGGTCTCCGTTAGCATGTTTTTATAGTTAGCTAGCTCCATTGAGCTATCCAGATATAGAAGCACAGCTGTATTCTCTATACTGACGTGCCTCCAGTATACTACTCTGGGTTAGCTCATATATTTTCCCTTGACATGTCCCAATCTACTCCGCATTCCCTAGTCTAGAGAAAATATTATCATGATGGTAAAACATTTGCAAATAACACAACTCAATAATAATCAGATAGCAGTGAGTGAA